CATGGTTATGGCATCTGTTTTCCCAAGTAATCTCTAGGCATGCTGAGATCTGGCTTTCTAGAAAGTGGCGGGATAACCCCATGCTGATGGAAAGTGGTAAGTAAATTCCATGCTTTTTTGCTTTTTGTTTTGCACGTACATCTTTGCTTCACTTACTGGACTGTATATCTTAGCCCATCATTTGTTTGGTTTGTTTGTTTTCTTTGTTTTGTTTTGTTTTATTCTGGTAATCTTTTCTCTTACTCTGTTGAGAGAAAATGAGTGTGTGATGGAATAGAGGCTCAGCTGCAAACTGAGGTCAATCTATCAGTCTTTCCTAGCAGGTACAGAGTAGGCAAAATTAAATAGATCATGGAATAATGTATCTTACTTAAATAGAGGTTTTAATCTTGGCTTCTGTGAACCTAATTTTCTATACAACTAATCACAGTAAGTGCTGTCTGATCTCTGCTACCTAGTGTTTCACTTGCTATCTGACATGTTGCCTGCAATAAAATAATCTAGGTGGTGAATCATGGCAAAGTTGGTGTGGCTGAACAGAATTGTGTAGCTCTTCTGATCAGTAAAGGTAACACTGGAGACAATCTCTCTGTCAAACAACTCTAGACAGAGGATAAGTTGCTGTAGATGTCTTTAGAGGTTATTATCTGAAATACTGATCTCAAAATATGCTTCCTGGAATAATAATCCAATGTTCTGGATCAAAATCAAATTTATTATGACCAGCATCAGTTCATACCTAATTTAGAACAAATATATTTCAGAATTCATAAATAAACAAGAAATATCAGTATACTCAAATAGCATTTGAGTTGCTGAGGACAGAAGGAGCAAAACTTAGAGTCAGATGAAACACATTCAGACAGAAAATGATATAGATACATAGAATTTGAGTACTGGATACTTCTGGGACCACTTCATTGTTGTGTGCTCATATATCATCATGGTTTTCGCTAGAATGGAATTAATTTTCTTCATTTCAGTCCGTATGTTTTGGTCACAAATCCAAAATATCCCTACCAAAAGGGAGACTGAAGGTTTGAAAGGTGGCACAATCAGGACAGTCGATCCTAACAGACTAAAGGTATATTCTATATTATATGATGTGGCCACACTTTATATTCTTTATCACAGAATCACAGAATCAGCAACAAAGTTGGGAGGGGAAATGGTGGAGGGAGTGGGACAACTCCTGGAAATTTTCTGTATTGGTGTTTTAACAAGATTACATAACTAACCCTCACATAAGGCCTGTGTGTAAAGTACATGCAGAAAGGCTTAGCTCTACAAAACAGTGGTGCAGGCAAGAAATACTTAAAGCTTGCATTATACCTGTCACGTGAAAATCTCTTGATCCAATCATGCAGCTGTGACTTATTTGTTGATTCATTTACTTTTAGGAAAAGAGAAAGAAGGGGTCATTTTGTTTTCATAGTTTTTCACCATTTTCTAAGAAAGCAATAATGAGATCTGAATTTTCTTTCCTAGAAGAAAAAAATCCTATCTTTTCACATTACAAATTTTCCAAACCTACATTGAGTTAAAACATTCAAATACTAAATTCTTAGTCATTTTTATTCAGTATATGTAATCACCCATTATAATCTTAGCAAATCAGTTTTTCAGTTTGTCAAAATGTCAGCAACAAAATGTATCTAATACACTGTTGCCAAGATTTTGCCCAGAAACAGAGCTTCCTTTTTTCTGTATTAGAGACAAAGAACTTTTTCTCCTAACTCACAGTTGCAAGAAAATCTCAAAGAAAGATTCACTTTTATCCCAGTTTCAGAAGTATCTTAAACATGACCTGAAAAGCACCAAGAGCAAGATATTATTTCATTGAGAGTTAACATTATTGCTTCTCTGAATCCAAATGACAGGTTCATACAAGGTCAATAATCTGAAAGTATCCACTCATAGCATGATGCTCTTTACTAATGTATTAAAGTGGTTTTTTTTTTTTGTTTTTGTTTTTGTTTTTGTTTTTGTTTTGTTTTGTTTTGCCTGTATACAGCAGTTGATTATTCTTCTAAATGGCATAAAATGATCTAATCAGGGGAAATCTTGATTTCCTTTTTCACAACACAGATGAGGGAGATGCATCCTCAAGTATTTGATCTGTGTCAGAAAAAAAGACACCTAAGCATGGCAGTTATAATTTCACACTAAGATTGTTCGGAGGTATAATATGCTATAGGTTCATAAACATGGTGAAAAAGTCCCTCCCCAGCTTTCCTGTAGAGCCCCTTCATGTACTGGAAGGCTGCTATAAGATCTCCTCAGAGTCTTTTCCAGGTTGAAGTGCTGCAACTCTCTCAGCCTGTCCTCACAGGGGAGGTGTTCCAGCCCTCGATCACCTTCATGGCCCTCCTCTGGACCTTCTCCAACAAATCCATGTCCTTCTTGTGCTGGGGGCTCCAGAACTGGGTGCAGCACTACAGGCTGTGTTTCATGAGAATCATAGAATCATAGAATCACAAGGTTAGAAACGACCTATAAAATCATAGAACAGAGAAGAGAGGCAGAATCACCTCCCTCAACCTGATGGTCACTCTTCTCTTGATGCAGTCCAGGATACAGTTGGCCTGGGCTGCAACACACATTGCTTCTCATGTTGAATCTTTCATCAACCAGCATTCCTCAAATCCTTCTCCTCAGGGCTGCTCTCAAACCATTTTTCACCCAGTATATATCTGTGCTTGGGACTTCTCTGGCCCAGGTGCAGGATCTTTAACTTGGCCTTACTGAACTTCATGAGGTTGATATGGGCCCACCTCTCAGGTTGTCTAGGTTCCTCCAGATAGCATCCCTTCCCTCTAGCATGTTAACTGCACCACTCAGCTTGATATCATATGCGAATTTGCTGAGGGTACATTTGATTCCACTGTTCATAATGCCTACAAAGATGTTAAATAACACCGGTCCCAGTACCAATCCCTGATGAACACCACTCATCACTGGTCCCCATTTGGACATTGAGCCATTTATCATAACTCTGAGTGCAATTATCCTGCCAATTCCATACCCAACAAGTTCATCCATTAAATCAATTTTTTGTCCAATATGGTGACAAATACGTTGGATCAGACAGTGTCAAATGCTTTGCACAAGTCCAGGCAGATAACTGTGAGAATCCTCCTTTAGTTTTTTTTGGCTCAAAGCTTGCTTCCTGAGGTTTTTCTTGTGATAAGACTCTGAGTGACTCGTCAAGGAGGCAACTGATGGGTGCTAACTGTGTGACAATCGATATCGCTTTGGGAACATTTGCAAGCCCATTCCCCCAGAGCTGCTTGCTCTGTAGAAGAGCGGAAGAGAGTGCTCAGCAGTGTTCACTGGCGGAAGATCTGGCCTGTGGCCAAACCGCTCCAGCTAAGTATGGAAGGCTGGGGGATGATACCATTGTATCTTGCGAAGGCAAGATGCAAGTTGGTGCCTCCCTGCTTCCTCTTATCTGCTGGCAAGGCCAGAAAGATAAGAACAAAGGAGGTTCCTGCTGAGATCCCAGAGCCAGAAGCTGTCACCGCAAGGAGAACTGACTCAACCACCTTGGGTTTGATCTGTCACTCAAAGGAGAGCTGATTCGACCACTTTGGATCTGAGCTGTCACTCCAAAAACAGCTGACTCACACTTTGAAGTATTGAAAAAGAGCCATCATCACCATGGTCGTGGTCGTCGTTGGCAACAGGACAACAATACCTGACGACCCACCGCTACTGAAGATCAAAGACTAAGCTACGAACCTCGCTGGATCCATGGTGGTGACTATCTCCCTATTGCTGCCTATAAAGACCCCTTGCTTCCTCTTTCCTATCTTTTCTATCACCCCCCCTTCCCTTCCCCCATTACCCTAATTCATAATAGTGTCCGTTCTCCCTTCCCCATTTTCCCTAATTAAGATTTGTAATAAACTGGTTGGACCAACATTTGAACCGTTGCTTCTTAATCTCACACCGGGTATATAGATAATAAAAGAACCTCCTCTCCCTCCTATAAATTGGAGCGAGACAATGACGTCAGTTACTGTTTCTTTATCTACTAGTGCTGTAACTCCATAACGTGTTCCTATTTCCTGCTTCTACTTAGCCAGACCTTGTCTAATCAGATTCCTTACTGCAGATTGTTTTGTGGTTTTTTTTGTTGTTGTTGTAGTTTTTGTTTTCTTCCCTGTGTGAAAGCACAATATTTCTTTCCTAACTTATAATCAAAGCAATCAAGGGGAGGCTAGATCTACAGTAACAGATTCTGCAAAACTTTTAAATGTACTAGCTTGAATGCAATGGAGAATCAAGACAGGCATTCCTAATCATACATTAATTTTACATGTGTTTACTTCACTATATCAGATCTGGAATTGAAGGAGCAGATCCTTAAAATGACTCTCATTGAAACAGGGTGAAATTAGAAGTCTACTATAAGGATGTTTGTGAGAATCCTTCTTTGTTTTTTTGTATATAGATTGTATATATATAGATGAGTATATAGATTACAAAAGAACCTCCTCTCCCTCCTATAAATTGGAGCGAGACATTTATTTAATGGCGTAGTCGGCAGGATACCCATCGTGAGAGTGTTGTCCTTCCAGATATAGTCTGAAACTTTCTTTGTGTGCACCTCCTGGAGTTGCATGGAGCGATATTTTTGAATCTTAGACTTGAGTCCTTGTCCAGGAAGACCGCTCCGCATTCTGAAACTTTGCTGTTTATGTGTATACCTCACGGGGATGTATGAATTAATTTTGATTACGTGTGTGCCTCCTCGGGAAGACCTCTCTGTGGTTAGTGCGAAATTTGGACCTTTTATGTGTGTACCTCTCGGGGATGTATTTAGAATACCTGCATTTTGTTTAATATGTGTGTGCCTCCTCAGGAAGACCTCTCTGGTTATTTGGTAACTGAAGTGTGAAACTTGAACCTTTGTGTGTGTGTGTGTGTGTGTGTATCTGCGTGCACGCGCCTCTTGGGGAAGTGAGGAAGTGATATTTTGTTACTTAAATGTGTGTGCCTCCTCGAGAAGACCTCTCTGAATTTTGCGATTTTAGTATCCTGTAACTTAAGTGTGAAATTTGCATCTTTTTGCATGCTCCCCTCAGAGAAAGGGAAGAGTGCTTTGAGCATTAGCGTTTGAAAAGTGTCTGTTTCCCTGGGGAGATAAGGAGTCACTTGAGCTTTTGAATACGTGCACCTCCACCTCCCTTAGTGTTGGTCTTTCATTGTATTGAAAAAATGAGCGACAGCATTGCCAACATGAAAAGTGAAGATGTATTATTTGATCTTTTAGAAGAACATGGTGCTCGACCCTCTTTATCAGGTATGGATTGGGCACAACAGAACTGGTATAACTTGCAGAGTGTTTCGGACTGTATTAATGTCCTGCAAAAGAATGCTCGTACTCAAGCTGGAAAAGGAAAGTCCTTTATTTGTGCCGTACTCGGGGCTACTTTAAAAGCAGCCATGGAGTTCCGAGATGAAAAGCATTCGGCAGAAACCCAAACTATACAAGCACTGAAGGAATCAGTTAAAGTAACACAAGAATTGGTGAAAACTCTTCAGAATCAAATAGTGAACCTTGAGGAACAATTAGAAAGAGAGAAACGTAATTCAGCTTTGTTGCAAATGGCTTTTAAGGAACTGCTAACATGTAAGCATGCCAGCCATACCGTCACCCATAGTTTGCCTCGAGAAGAAACTTTTCCTCAGGTGGAACTACCAGGAATGAAGGAAAGGCTAGATAAATTAGAAATCCCAATAGCCCCATTGCGTCCTTTGATAAAAACTGAATACACATTCGATAACAGTGAGGATCTAGATCCTCAAATGAATGTTAAAGAAATTCCCTTCTCAGCCACTGAACTGGCGAAATTGAAGAAAGATTTCAGCCGCTCTCCAAGGGAATCAGAGACAGAATATGTATGGAGGGTTAGTCTCACTGGTGGCGACCAGATTCGGTTAACAGAAAAGGAAGCAGAAGGTTATTGGGGACCAGGAGTATTTTTAACTACTGGTAACAATCGTGCTCCCTGGTCCTTAACGCAAAGGGCTGCCTATTGGGCAGGTGGTCTCAACCCTTTAGAATGGGGAGACCCTCTTGCCATTATTGGGACAACTGATGAGTTAGTAGAGAGTGTTCAAAAGGCTGCTTGTCTCCAAATGATGTATGATAGAAAGCTGCAGCCACACCATGAATCACCTATGATGATGCCTGTTGATCCTGAGAGAATGACTGCTTTACTTAGAGGGCTTCCAGAGTCGTTAAAACCTATAGGTGTTCAACTGCAAGGAAAAATACAAGTAATGCCTCAGGGAGAGAGAACCCGGCCAGTGTTAGAAGGAACTGTAACCCCCAACCATCTGCAGTCAGGAAAAAAAGCATGGACGTGGGGAGAGGTTGCCCAAGAGTTAATTAACTATGGAAGGAAATATGGGCCAGTGGTTTCTTCCTCCACTAAATTTGAGCCAAGTGAAGTTAGACTTGCAGCAGTCAGCCTTGCCCCCAGGCCTCCTAGCTCAAAGCTCAGTGGGATTGGAAGGGTCTCACTGTCAGTAAAAACAGGTAGGTGAAATATTGATCATAAATGTAATTGTCTCTGGACACTCGGCTGGCAAAAGGGTGTTCCACGAGATTTGATGAATGGATTACCGACTGTCAGGTTAGAGAAATTAGTTAACTGGTGGCGAGAACAAAAGCTCCAGAGTCTCGAGGGAAGCAAGACCCCAGGTCCTAGGATCTCTCCCAGGGAACCTGAACGGCTACCCAAACCATTAGAAAACTGATGTCTTCGCCCCTCCCAAGTGAGCGGGGTGGGGGCGGTGAAGGGTGGATGCATGAGAAAGCTCACAACAAAGGGGAACAAGATCATCGATTTAACACCTTCTGCCAAAGGCCTCACCACTCTTGCCAGTTATCCCTGTGAGTCACGATCCAGTGGCTGATAAGCCAGGGAAATACTTTTACCTCCCTGGCCAGACTGTGTCTATTGACTCAGCTAACCTGAGGCCGGTTTCACTAAACTTAATGGAATCCCTTAACAAATATCCTTGGAAGGCTAAAGACACCCCGAAAAAGGAATATGAAATCAACACTTGCTGGATTGTTCCCTCATTTTTTAACCATATTAACAAAGCCCAAAAAGGGCAAGTTTGTGTCTTGTTTTATTTCACAGAAAATCCCCGTGGGACCTTGACAGAACACAAAAAGACTAATAGCTGATTTAAACCATTTGTGTTTTGTGACAGAAATACTGAAGATTTGATCATGCTAGAATACTGAATGTATATCTTGATTAAATACTTTGGTTGCAGTAGTGTTATGTTTTGTGTTGTTGTGGGTGTGGGTGGTGATTTTTATATCAGTCCTTGGATCTGTTAAACTTCACAACTGAGTTCAGGGTTTTTTACAGTTCATGCTGGCTTTGGCTTACTGGTACTTCCTGCACAGTGATACCATTTCTTTTGACCCCTTCTTTCACCCCTTTTTGCCAAACTGATTATGATTTGCATGTAACTCCTCCACAGTGTTTCCAAATTCCTAACAAACTGGGAAATGAATCAAGGGACCCATCTAATGTCTGTTAGATGTGGTCACAAAAGAAATCCACCATAAAGCCTTTTGCACTGATGCTTTTCAGTGTCACACCAGTCCAGAAGTTCCATCCAAAACATGATTGTTGGAAAGTGCCTAAGTTTTAATAAGAGATGCGTATGTTTCTGGGATTACCCCTCTTTGATGGTTTGTACTGTGGGGGTATCCTGCACACACTATCCTGTGAAAAGTTCTGTGGACTGTAACTATACTTGAACTTGCCAAACTAATATTTATATCTCTCAGCATTTGCATTGCTTTGGAAATGCTCAAGCGTAAAGTTCTCGAGACACTAAATCATCTTAGAAAACATTACGTAGCAAGTCCACATATTGTCAAATTAGACTAGATACACTTTTCGTGAATTAACTGAAGTGTAATATTGTATGGCTATTCATAAACACCACAACCTCTACTGAAGAATTCCCATCTGGATCCTGGCTTACACTGGGAGTTCCTGGTTGGGGAAAGCAGCTGACACAAATGCCTAAGTTTGTTTTACTTATTTGTTTATTAATATTGGTTATTGTTAAATGTGTGGTCACTGCTAAATGTATGGTTGTCTCTTTTCACTTTCTATCTTTAATTCATCATGTAACATTCATGTCACCACTCCTGAGGTATCACCGAGTGGTGTCTGTGGCAAATTGAATGATTCTAATTGTTGTCTAAAGATTAATGATAATGGTAAAGTTGTTAAACAAATTGCCCAGGGTATACGGAAGATAGCCCATGTTCCTGTCCAAACCTGGAAGGGCCTAGACGTTGATTTCTTTTCCTGACTTCCAGGTGGCCCATGAGTCAAAAGTATCCTATTTTATCTACTGTGTGTTGTTGCAAAACTCTTACGTTTGTACCTTGTATGATTCCATGTTTTATTCAACTTATACAAAGTGTTGTATCCTCCATGTATTTTGTAACTACTTCAACTGATGATGGACAAGTCCAACAGATCAGGGCAACATTTGTAACCAAGCCCAAGAAATCTTTTGTAGTACATGCGTAACAGTTATCTTCTCCTTCTCCCCCCTCCTCCTTCCCTCCTGCTTCTTTGCTGTCTTTTTATTTTCTGCCTTTTCCTCACCACCGTGGAGGGTCACTTATGCTTTATTTCAAGCCATCTTTGAGCCACAGGGTGGTGTGAGAATCCTTCTTTGTTTTTTGGCTCAAAGCTTGCTTCCTGAGGTATTTCTTGTGATAAGACTCTGAATGATTTGTTGAGGAGGCAACTAATGGGTGCTAACCGTGTGACAATCGATATCACTTTGGGAACATTTGAAAGCCCCTTCCTCCAGAGCTCCTTGCTCTATAGAAGAGCGGATGAGAATGCTCAGGAGTGTTTACTGGCGGAAGATCTGGCCTGTGACAAAAGAGCTCCAACTAGGTGTGGGAAAATTGGGGAACGATACCATAGTGTTCTGTGAAAAACAGGATGCAGATGGGCATCCCTGCTACCTCTTATCTGCTGGCAAGGCCTGGAAGATGGGAACAAAGGAGTTTCTGCTGAGATCCCAGAGCCAGAAGCTGCCACTCCAAGGAGAGCTGACTCAACCACTTTGGATTTGAGCTGTCACTCCAAAGACAGCTGACTCGACCACTTTGAAACCATTGAAAAGGGGCCATCATCGCCATGGTCATCGCCGTCTTCGTCAATAGAACAACTCTGCCAGATGACTCACCACTACTGAGGATCAAAGACAGAACTACGAACCTCGCTGGATCCATGGTGGTGACTATGCCCCTCTTGCTGCCTATAGACTCCTTGTTTCTTCTCTTCTATCTTTTCTATCACCCTCCTTCCCTTCCCCATTACCCTAATCAGAATAGTGTCTGTCCTCCCCTTCCCCATTTCCCTGATTAAGATTTGTAATAAACTGGTCGGACCAACATTTGAACCATTGCTTCTTAATCTCACGCCGGGTATATAGATTACAAAAGAACCTCCTCTCCCTCCTATAAATTGGAGCGAGACAATGTTACAAATGAAAAATTTGTAGTATTATGACAGTACTTCATACCATTCTTTTGGTTTACTATCTGTTGTTGCAAAATGAGGAAAAGTTTTCTGTATTCATTTGTTTGTTTGTTTGTTTGATTTTCTGTGTTCTTTCTATAGTATTTTATCTTGCTTTTATTTAATACATACAGTAGTAAACAAAAACATTTTTCAGCTGATTGAATGTGTCAGCTTATGAAAATGTGATAACTTAAAAATACGTACCTAAAGATCTTTAAAATGCCTGGTATTATTGGAAGATAAAAAAGTTTATGTCTATATATATATGTCTATATATTATGTCTATATATTCAGAAAGCAACATATTATATTTGACTAATGTTGTAGTCAAGAGCTTGAATATTAAAAAAAGTGATGGTCTTTAATCATACTGCACATCCCCAGTAGTAAAATGGTTGTAATACTATCACGTTAGTGTGTTGCTACAGTAATGTAAAATAGGGTACCAGGGGAAGGCCTGGGGCTTTGACTTGCCTCTATGTCTTGTTCTATCTGCTGATATACAATGTAGGATCCAGTTTCTGAGTTATTCAAAGTTGTTTGAATGTTATTGCTCTGTGCTTGATGGAAATATCTGCCTTCGCACATTTGAAAAGTAATACAGGAAGTCATATGTACTACCAACAATATAAATCACAGAATCACAGAATCACAGAATCACAGAATCACCTGGGTTGGAAGGGACCTCAAGGATCATGTAGTTCCAACCCCCCTGCCTAGCAGGGCCACCAAACATACACATTCAGATCAGGTTGCCCAGGACCCCGTCCAACCTGGCCTTGAACACGTCCAAGGACGGGGCATCCACAACCTCCCTGGGCAGCCCGTTCCAGGGCCTAACCACTCTCCTTGTGAAGAACTTCCCCCTAACATCCAACCTAAATCTTTCCTCCTTCAACTTTGATCCATTTCCCCTAGTCCTGCTGCTGTCAGCCCTTCTGAAGAGTTTACTCCCCTCCTGGGTGTAGGTTCCCTTCAGGTATTGATAGGCTGCAATGAGGTCGCCCCGCAGCCTTCTCTTCTCCAGGCTGAACAAGCCCAACTCAAAAGTTCCTCCTGTATTTAAGAGTTTATCAAATACAGTATTTATGAAATGCTGAAAGGAAATCAACATATCATCAAGAGATGCTTCCAATAGCTGAAGAAACCTTCAGGGAATGTCACCAATTATAACACCTTCAAAATGGCAACTTCTAAATTAAGCTTTTCCTACAGGAAATAACTTCATCACAGTGTCTTGGCATTCTCACTTTTATTCCTTTACTGCTTGGTTGATGACATTTCAGTGTTTTGTGGGTTTTTTTTTTTTTTTCTTGTTTGTTTGTTTGTTTGCTTTTTAATATTTTTTGTTTTTTTAAATTATATATAAAAATAGTTTAAAATTCTACTCCAAAGAAGTCACAATCTCATTTTATAAGAGCTACTGACTAATTACATCAAGAAAAATAAATAAATAAAGCCTGAGATAGAATGTGAATAGAATTTTATTAGGAAAATGACTTGCATCAGAAACTGTTAAAGTCAAAATTGTGCTGATACAAAAATATTTTCTTGCTATTTATTCAGGAGAAGTTAGGACTTGCTGAGACTGCTTGTATACAATTTTTATTTAAATGGTTAAATAAAACCTGTTAGCCAGTACAATTGAGACAGTAAGAAAAATTTTTTTGTATAGCATAGATCTTTTTGTATTTGATCTATCTGAGAAAAATGCATTCCTTCCAGAGACAGAACACACAAACAAATGACAGTGCTACCAGTTCTGGTTGTTAGTTGCCACAGAGAAAAAGGAAACCATAAAAAGGGCAAGCTGAGTAATGGAGACCTGTAAGTTTTGTACAAAATCTGCCTATGCCTGCATTGTTATATCTATTCAATTGACAAGTATAGCAACAGCTATTATCACTTTCATCCTTCCACTTAAATGTTTCTCTCTTCTCTGAAAACGTGGTATATCTGAGTGCTGGGTGTCAATAGTAATATGTTTTTAATGAGTTCTGCAAGGTACAGTGTATGTGTATATGTATGTGTGAACATGCCATTCTTTCAAAAGAACCTGAGCTGTGACTGATCAGACAATAATATATACATATATATAAATTAATACAAATAACCAAACAAACCTAATCCATAAGAAAAGAAACAAAGCAAACAAACAAACAAAAAAACTATGTTACATCCAGTATACCTGCTTAGGTACAGGAAGTGGCATTTATACAATAAAACAGGTATTCCTGAGACTTTTATCTGACACTAAAAAAAACCCACATTGTTAAGCACATCTTTATCCATAAGAAGGTACTGCTTGCAAATGTTTTGTTGGAATTGGCACATGACCTGTGCTAACTCTCAAATCATATCCAGAAACTGCTTGGGTAAATACCGACTGGCATAGGCCAGAGTTGTTTGCAGGGAGCGTTTTAACGGATTAATGTTATAGAAGACTGAGATCCAGTGCATGTACAAGAGCATTTAGAGTCAGTATCAAATCTGATAGCACAGATCTAGTCTTACTGAAGTAGCACTTGCATGGAAGGTACCTCCATTCCTCGTATAAGCAACAGAGCAAGGAGCTTATTCTAAAGATATTAGAGAAAAAATCTGCCTTTGGTTTTAGTACTACCACTATCTAACTGCCTTACATACAGAGACTAAGATACACCTGCTAAACTGCGTCTGAGTTTACAAATATGAACCATACAATCATGCACAGATATGCAACTGCATGTACATTAGTCATACTGTTCTGAGTATTTTGTGTAATATTA